GGAGTACCTTACATTTATCTATGTTATGATGGTTGAATCAACATTGATAATGTTTTCTCAATATAAAATCAACTAAAAAATAGCTCCAGATTGACATTTTAGATTAGGGTTAAATTGATGTTGATTTATTTTCAATTATGGTTTAAAATCCGCTGTTGATTCAACTTAAAACATAACGAACGCTTTCAATTTGGTTTCAATGTCGGGTATCAACGTAGATTCAATATTTCTTCCTGACTGTTCAATGTTTCAGTCTGATTTCGCTATCTGGGAGACGAAGAGAAAAAATAGCTGTTATCTTAGGCTACTGATGACTGCTTGTATGTTAGCATTAGCTTAAACAGGCTCCTGCACCAGTAATGTTATGGTTGTAGTGCATCTTGGTTGTAGTGAAAAGGTTTATGGTTGTTAAGTTAATGAAATGTAAGCCTATCCTTTTTTGCTACCACTACCTGAATGATTTCTAATGCCAGAATTGGATCTTAAGATGAGACTTTATTGTCATTGTATCAGAAATACAACAAAATTTGTTTGGTAGCTCACGGCTCAGCAGCAAAGAGGTACATTAAGGTACCACATTAGTATAGCATATAGTCTTGTAGACATGGGATAAGTATAAATAAACCTAATATAACTATTGGTAAAATACAATATAAGAAATATATTCCCTAGTGCAGTCTACAGTGTGCTGGGTTATTTACAGATTTAGGTATTTAGTCAATGTGATTAAAGTGACCAAGTGCATATCAGCAGCAATACAAAGGTGTGGATGTGACTTAATGGTCAGTGTTCTGTAGTGGGAAGGGGTGTGACGGAGGCCACTGCCCTCGGGGAAAAAGCTGTTCCTCAGTCTGTTTGTTCGTGACTTGATGGTCCTGGATCTTTTGCCCGATGGGAGGGGGGCAAACAGTTTGTAACCCAGGTCGGTGGGGTCCTTGATGATGTTGCTAGCCTTCTTACACAGTCGGCTGGCATAAACATTGTTCAGATCTGGGAGCTTGGTACCCACGATCCTCTGTGCAATCTTAACTATCCGGGCCAAGTCTCTCCGGTTCTCTGCCGTGCAGCTGGAGTATCACACTGTAGCACCATAGCAGAGAATGCTCTCTATTGTGCTCCTGTAGAAGTTAACAAAGAGCTGAGTGGGAAGTCTGGCTTTTTTGAGTGTTCTTAAGAAGAAAAGTCTGAGCTTTCTTCACCAAGTAGGAGGTGTTAACAGTCCATTTCAGGATGTAGATCCCCAGGAATTTGTATGTCGTTAACCCTCTCCACTTACGTGGAGGGGGGGAGGTGTCATTTTCCTGTCATTTTCCAGTCTATAACAATGTCCTTTGTCTTGGATGGATTCAGGACAAGATTGCTGTCTGAGCACCACTGTACCAGGTGTTGCACCTCCTCCCTGTAGTGGGTCTCATCGTCTCCTGTTATCAGTCCCACTGCCGTGGTGTCATATGCAAATTTCACTATGGTGTTGCAGGTGCGGATGGGTGTGCAGTCATGTGTGGATAGGGTGAAAAGGGCTGGGCTGAGGACACAGCCCTGTGGTACTCCTGTGCTCAGTGTGAGAGTGGATGATATGCGGTTTCCCACCCTGACATTTTGTGGTCTGTTGGTGAGAAAGTTCAGAATCCATGAGCAGAGTGGTGGTTAGCCCCAGGTTGGTGATCTTGGTAATCAGTTTATGAGGGATTATTGAGTTAAAGGTGGAGCTGAAATCAATAAATAACATTCTGGCGTATGTGTCGGGATGCTCCAGATGAGTCAGGGTAGCGTGAAGTGTGACTGAAATTGCATCTTCTGTTGACCTGTTTCCCCGGTAAGCAAACTGATGGCTATCCAGATCTGTGGGAACGCTGGCCTTGATGTGCGTGGGGAAAAAAAGCCTCTCAAAGCACTTCATAGCAATCAGTGGTAGAGCAACAGGACGATGATCATTGAGACATGTGACTGCTTGCGTTTTTGGCACTGGGATGATGGTAGTGGTTTTAAGGCATGTGGGGACTATAGCCTCCTGCAGAGACAGATTAAAGATGTTTGTTCGCATCCCCTGCTAGCTGATCAGCACATGACTTCAGTGTGCAGCCTTGTACCCTGTCTGGTCCTGCTGCCTTGGAGGTGTTGATGTTGTTTTTATTATTATTATTAACTGTGACATTATTCACTGTCTTTTATAGAGGAAACATGGATGTCAGTTGCAGAAATACTGTAAACTAACCAAGGCTGCCTGCAAAAGAAAAACTGAAGCTGCATGGGACATCATCTTCAAATGTCAAACAAATAAAGCTTGAAGAAACAAGGCAAATCTCTCAGAAAACAGTGGATAACGCTGTACTCCGCTTCATAGTTCAAGGTCTCCAGCCCTTCTCCCTTGTTGAACAGCCTTCATTCCAAAGCCTTGTCCTGGATTTGCAGCCAGAGTGTGTGGTAATGTCTCCATCTACAGTGCGGCGCAAGATTGATGCAGCCACAACAATCATGAAGGAACAAGTGAAAGAAGCAATGAGGAAGATTTCATACGTTGCCACAACAACTGATTGCTGGACTGTGAGAAGGAGGAGTTTCATCGGTGTAACAGCACATTGGCTGGATCCATGCAGTTTTGAGAGGCATTCTGTTGCTCTTGCATGCAAACGGTTAAAGGGTCCTCATACATTTGATGCTTTGGCAGGTGCAATGAATGACATACACACAGAGTATGAAATTCGTCAGAAAATAGTCAGAACCACAACTGACAATGGTTAAAATTTTATTAATGCTTTTCGTGAGTTCGGACTAGAAGAAAATGACGCCGTTGAAGAGGCAACTGAGGAAAAAGCAACTGATGAAGATGATTGCTCTGATGATGAAGAGACAAGTGAAATTCATTGATTTTGATGCAATTATAGCTGAAGATGATGGCCTTCAGTACCTACTACCAAAGCACCATCGGTTAATTTGCTATATTTGGTTTCCACAGTGGATGTTGAGAATGCAAACAGAGCAGAGGCCTACAAGAAACTCTCAAGGTCAGCCTTCTCTAAGTCCCAGGCTCTCTGGAATAAGAGTTCAAGGTCTACTACTGCTGCAGAGACCGTTGAGAAGCACTGTAAGCTTCAACTGGTACAGCCCAATGCAACAAGATGGAATTCCTTTTATTTGGCTGTGGAGCGCATAGTGAGAATCCTCAAAGATCAAGGAGAAGGGCCTATGAGAGCTGTCTGTACTGCTCTCAAAATTCCTATGTAAGTAACAAATGTCCGGGATCTTCTATTTGTCTTATTGCCTACATAAATGCTTGCCTCATCACCTGGTCAGGTCACCTTTTGTGCATTATATGCAAATAAGTAGCAAAAAACAAGGAACAGTTATAGAATGATTTTATAAAGCTAATTCCTGTGTGATCTGAAATTACCCATTTGTGAGGGTGCTTTAATGTATTAGTTATTTTATGTACATTGGAGGAAAAATTTTTTTTTTTATGATTGGTCTTTTTTTTTCTTGTGTTAGGTACAGTCCAGCTGACATAGCCTTTTTTTGGTGAATACACCACCACCATGAGCCCAGTTGCAAAGGCAATAAATATATTGCAAGGAGAATCCAATATTCAGATGGGATGGCTGCTCCCTATAATCACGACCCTTGTGACCAAACTTGACAAAATGAGAGCATCGCTGAGATTCTGCAAGCCGCTAGTTGATGCNTGGTCCCCATAAGGGAAAACTCTATTTTATAAAAATTGGTGACTGCTATGAAAAAACTAAAAATGCAAAAACTCTTGTATTTTGTTTGGTTACTTATGGTTATGGTTAGGGCTGGGTGGGGGTTAAGGTTGTCATAGTTAGTGTTAGCATTTTTCCCATAGAAGTGAATCAGAGGTCTCCATAAGGATAGATATACCCGATGTGTGTGTGTGTGTATGTGTGTGAGTATTATGTTTATAATTGTGTTATTTTGATGGTGTGTGGACCATTTTTCAGGTCCCCACAAAGATCTATGAATGCAATCAAAAAACTAAAAATGCCAAAAGTCTCATATTTTGTTTGGTTACTTATGGTTAAGGTTAGTGCTGGTTTGGTGTTTAGGTCGTCATGTTGGGATATGAGTTTTCCCCATAGAAATGAATGGAGAGTCGCCACAAAGATATAATTACAAACCTATGTTTGTGTGTGTATGCTAAGGGCTCCTAAATTGCTAGGATTGACTAATCATTTCTAACAGATTATTCTATGAGTCCATAGTTAAAGTGTTTAAATTCTTCCTTAATTTTCATTGGTGTTTTGGTTAATGCTTTTGAGTGAGATCAGGAGTCAGGAGCCGCTTGTGTAGAATTGTGTAGTCTTTTACTGTATTCACATACGGTACATATATATTCATACAATCAGGGCTAAAATAAGATACAGAATATCGAGGCTAACACTAGGTACAGATACAAGCTTATTTTGATTAGTCGGGCAGCAGTAATTAGTGTACATTTTCATATGGCTTACAAGATCATACTTTCTACGGATTACATTAACTTCTTCTGGTTACATCTTCTTAATAATATCGTAATGATTACATTCTCTGTGTTATAAAGTGCTAAGTAATATTCCATATTGGCTAAATGTGTAATTCTAATTTGAAATTGAGCATTTTATACTAATTTAATATTACACATTAATAAACACTGCAAAAGTTTTTTATGTCTTAAAACTTATTTGTTAAATGGCTTTTATTACTCTTTTAAAAAATATTCACCTATTTGCGGCTGGTGTTTGCAATAATGGGGATGTGTATGGGGGGGTTGGGGGATGGATGACCTACTTATTGTGGTTGTCAAGGAACACCATATAAGCCCCCCCCCCTTATGACATCACAACCCACTAAGCTCCACCTATACTGCCAATGAATATTTTTTTCTCCAAAGTCTTAAGACAGACGGAAACCTGCAAACACTGCATCATTATCCACAGAGGCATACATGTTGTTCCTGTCTGAACCCCAAATTTTAACAAACACCTTGTCAGTCTTAGTCAACTGCATTACAATGCCACATGTCACTGTTGTATCTCCTGCTTTATGATAAGATGAGACCAGTTTCTCCATGTTCTTGAAGATGCCATACTGTGATGTATTATATTCTGCTGCATGCACTGTAATGTAGTAAAATCCAGGCTCTGGGCAGGTGAAGATGCCAGTCTCAGGGCTGTAACCTTCTCCCTCATTGGTGAGCACTGTGGTGAACTTTATGGGCTGATCGTCACTGGGACATCTTTCGCAGAGCTGGAGTTTGGCACTGAAGGCTATGGTCCTGCCTACAATTACATGAAATACAAGCAAAAACAAACCATTCAAAATATTAAAAACATAAAATAAATGAAAAGTAATGATATTCAATAATTACAGGTCATAAATTTTTACAAACACAATATAAGTTACATAAATTTTAATGTTTTGGAGTAAAGCTGGAATGAAAATTATATATCAAAACCTTCACATTCAAATGTATGTCAAACCTTTGGTATGAATCGTCACATCATTACTGGGCTCACTGACTCCACCAGCATCGACTGCTCTGTACCTAAGAAGGTACACAGTGTCTGGCTGCAGCCCTGAAATGATCCAGTTCTCTTGATTTTCTTGTGTGTCTATAATCCTCCAGTCTTGCCCTCCATTTTTCTCCTTGATCTCTACTCTGAAACGCATTGGCTTTGAGGCTGGAGATGCCTGCAGTTTCAGGGTTATACTGCTGGATCCTATGTCAAGTATTAGAGGTGCATCTGGTTTTAATATGGGTTTGTACTGGCTATCCACCAGCTTCCCTTCTCGATGGAGATAAATGGAGGCCCCAGGATGACTGAGGTCAGAGATGTAGGTGATGACAAATTTGCTTTTCTCTTCTTCTTTGTTGGCATCTGAAAATTGTTTAAAAAGTTCATAGTTTTCTCTCATGGTCTGTGATATGTCAGGTGTCAAAAACCAGGGTGTTGACGCCTCATCCTCAACAAATTTCTTTTTATTCATAAACTCCTTAGAATTGAGACATTTTGTAAGATACAAAATGTATGGCTCTTCATATTTCAGGGAAGTGAAGACAAATGCAACGACTGACTCATTGTCTGGGCTGAAAATTAATCCATTGTATTGTGTGGGAGACACTATTTGGATATTTTTCTGATTTTCAAAGGTATCAATGTAAGATCTGAGCACCTCAAGTTCACTTCTCTTTTTTTCCAGCCATTTACTCATTATTTTTGCTGTAAAAGGTGAGTTATAGTGGGATTCCAGAATTGGCACCAACTTATTTTCATCCATCTTTCCATTACGGATACTTGGTATGATCTCTGACACATTTTTCTGGACAGTTATCTGGTATTGCCTAAGCATGTCTTGAAATGTTTTCAGTTTGTCCTGTATATCAGTAGCTTGAATATTCAAACTGATTTGCAGCAACTCATTGACTGTGGCGGTAGCACTCTGAAGGTCTTCCAGAATGGTGTCCAACTCTATAATCAAGTTCTCACTGATCTCCTGCACTAACTTGGCTGCCTTATTATCAAAGTATTTCAGAGGGTAGAGCCACACTGTCACTGGAACAGCCTTCTGTGCTCTATGTTCTAGAAGCTTTGGCAGGTCTTTATACACTTTCACTGCTTCCAGGTAGGTAGTTGGATTTTCTTTCAGTATGACATCACCATAAAAGGTGCACTGGATTTTCTCCACTGCCACTAATAGTAGTGGTGGGAATTTTCTTGATCATGACATTCAGTTTGTCTTGAATGTCCTGCTTATATTCATTCTGGGAAACAGTTTGGTCAAAAACCATGAAGGTGTCAACTCCATACAGCACTCCCGTGACAACATGAGTTGCTGTTCCTTGTTTAATCACATCTGCATAAGTGACTTTTCCAATATTCTTCATGTTGAGCTGCTTAAACACAGTCTTCTGGCTGTAATGCATAGTCACTCTACACTGACTTTCTGTGGTCACTGTGTCTTTGAGATACTTTGCCGACCCTCCTATCTCAACCAGGCCCGCTAAGAAGCTTGCCTTCAGGGAGGCGCTTACGTCCAAGAGGCTGGACTTCTTACTAAGAGAGTCAGAGGCAGTGATGTGAGATTTTGATTGGTTCTGTTCATGCACACTCATGTTCTTTTCAATATCTTCAGCATCCCAAAATGTGACTCCTGGAGTAATAGGGGAATACAGGGAAGCACTAATATGTATTTAAATTATTCCAGTGTTGCATGATTTTATAATACATATTTTGCTATATCAGTCAAATGATAATAAAACTGAATAATCCAACAATGTTAATAAAGGGTGTTGAGACATGTTTAAATGTTCTGAATGTTTTTCTGCAGATTCTATCAGAAATAAATAAATTGCAGTTAAATTCTCAGTTCTAATCTAACCCTTTTCCTGTACCTGCAATGAAGCCGTCGTTACGACAGTCATACAGCATTCCTGGGTGTAACGGACGTCCAAGGGCTGCAATCTGAATAGCACCGGTGGTCATGATTGCTGGAATATAGACAAAATGCTCTTTAATTTATTATTCAAATACTAAATTAAAGTATGAAACAGGGGCATCAATAAAACTTTAGCCCACTAAAAACTTCTTTGCAGCGCAAATAAATGCACATTAATTGTTACCATTGATTTTTATTAAAATCAAACCCTTACTGCAGGCTTAACTCCACTTAACATAAATCTCTACTGATGCTCCTATTATTAAACATCTGAAATTACCACACAGAAGGACACTAAAAGAAAAAGGGAAATCAAATTAAAAACACTTAATTCTATGTATACCGCACAGCCTGGCAAACAATCTGAATGTACATTCTCTTTTTATAAAACTGACATTGGATTTTATGACCACAACACAACAAAACACCCTCAGGGAAATGCACCACATGGCCGTAGTGTCATAACTGACACTAAGACAGAAAATCTATGACTGCAAAGAAAAGATATGAGTGTAGTATCTGAACCAGAAATACTAATCAGGATACGCTGTGTTGAGACATTGCTGAGTTGTACATGTACAGTATATGCCCAGTTGGTAGTTAATTAGGTTCACCTCCTGAACATAAATACAATACTCTATTGTGTTATACTGACAGGTGAGTTTAGTATTTTTTGTCAGTTTATATTAATATACTGTTTCAATACCTTGTCTTAAAGTGTAAACAAAACTAAATATTGTAATTTTCAGGGAAAATTGGAATTATTTTAAGGAAACTATTGAATTGCATCAACATAACTGTTGAGTCAAAGATCATCCTTCTGTGGTTACAGGAGAGCATGCTATTGCTGAGGAAGGTGTTAAAAATGGTTTGGACATCCACAGATAAGCACATACTGTCACACCCTGCTCCGTACGATCCCGATGTGTGCCACGCCCCCCTCATTACCTCGTGTTCAACCCTGATTGTGCTCGCCTGTGTCTTATTAAGTCTAGCTTGTCTTGTGTATTTAGTCCTCGTCTGAGTCAGTA